TTCTAAGTGTACACACTGGAAACATGGTAATTCTAAGTGTACACACTGGAAACATGGTAATCAGCCAACGCAGGAAAGCGGGGATTTTCTGAGTTGACACGCAGTCTGTGCAAATCCCCCGGAAGTGACCATAGCCTGCTAACAAAGGCAACAGCGCAGGGCCCGGAAAGCTAAGGTCATGAATGTTATACGGCCCCCAGAATACCAGTCACTGGCAAAGACTGTAACAAATTATTCATCGTTTGAGAAAAGGTAAAACAGTTTCAGAAGATGTCCCATGAATAAAAGATGAAATATTAGCACTCGTGTGGCCTATAAAACATGTGTCCACAGAACAGTTTCCTCACATGTCGAGACCAGTACAGCAGGTTAAACTAAGAGGTCTGAAAAATGCATACATTTCTAAACAAAATGTTTTCATTGAGCATCAATTTCAAGGGAAACACGGCAGCTAAAAATAAATAAATAAAAAGCCAGCCAGAGCCAAGCCCCCAAGCATCCAGCCATAGCAGACCTGGTGTTAGGCCGTGTAGGGATGTGTATCTTGCCAGCCAAAGACCCAGGAGTCACATGAACTCTTGGAAACATTGGCCTTGCATTTCAGCACAGTTTGGTTTTTACCGTGCCATGCACATATTTCATATTCACCAAATATTCTAGAAGAATGCAGTAGGTTATGCCTACTTTAGTCCTCTGTGTTTTCAAGGAAATCGTGGTTTTCTGTGACTAGCACTAAAGCTAAGACTATAAAATATATACCACCATGTTTCCCCTAAGAAAGCCCAAGATGTAAAATCTGGGGTTGCAGTCTACTCCTTGGAACAGTGTGAGGAACTGCAGTAGCTGTTTTACTTCTTGGTTTAAAAACTGAAAAAAGAGCATGTTTGGGAAATCCAACTGAACCGCAGGGGACACTCGCGGCTGCCTTATTCACATGGAAATGAAGATGCCCCTCCAAGGTGTTGTCTTTTTGTTCTGTACCTGTACATGTTTCCATGATTTTCTTCAGAGGTCCCTGCGTATACATGAGTCCAACAAGGATCCCGGCCAGGTGCCCAGCGAAGGACGTCCTAGGAGGGAAGGAGACCCTGTGTGAGTGTGTGCCCGGCTGCTGCTCAGACTTTGCTTTCCATCCTCTCGTTAGCCCAACATGTGCCAGTTAGTCACAGCCCGCAGACCTCGTTCCAGCCACATCACAGCCATTATGTAGCATTTAACTCATCCAAAGAACAGTATTTCCTACCTCCAAAAAAAGTACAATGGGTAACAATCACCGCACCTTTAACGAGCAATGCCCTTCTGTGCCCAAGAGAAGCTGGCTGACCTGACTCCTTCAGAGCAGCGAAGCATCTTGTCAAGACAGCCTACTCGGCTGCTTCTCCTCTTCCCCTTGACCGCTTATCACAAAGCACACCTGAAATCACTCTTCTCTGTTCCGAACTAAGTCGTGGACTCATCCACCGTCATGACCAACATTATCTGTGCTCACAGCAGAGCGGACTGCTGTATCTTTCACACAGGACTGCCCAGTGAAGCAGAAAGCAAGAGTCCACACCCATGGCTCCCAATTTGTCTTCACATGTATCCATCAATAACTCAGAAAAAAAAAAAAAAAAAA